ATTATGAGTGTGACAGTCAGCGTGAGTGTGTGTGAGTGTGATCGTGGTGAATCGTGCAGCAATAATAATAATCCTTGCATTCGATACAATATTAATAATAATAATAATCCTCGCCTAACAACAATCCCTCCGTACATTTGATACAGTACATTTCATGTCAGGAGAACATCTCAAAGTGCTTTACAGGATTTACTAGAAAGTCTACTGATTGTATTTTGTGGGCAAACATGGCAGCCAACTTGCACGCAAGAGGGTCCCTCCTCTTTTCAAATAATGCCATGCCTAACACGTGCCTTGTGTCAGTCTGGCTGCACTCTCGCCACTGAGTCAGAAGGTTGTGCGTTCAAACCTCATATCAGGTTTTAGAACAAATATAGTCTAAGCCGATGCTCCAATGCGGTGCTGGGGGTATTTTGAATTATCAGAGGTGCCGTCCTTTGGATGAGATATTAAACCGAGGTCCTGTCTGCCTGTTCAGGTGGACAATAAAAATCCCATGGCACTGTTCGAAAAGAGAAGGGAGTTTCTCTCTCCCAGTGTCTTGGCCAACAAACCCCCAAATAAAATTGGCCATTCACTCCATGGCTGTTTGTGGGATGTCTGGCTGCCATGTTTGCTCACAAGATATAATCAGTAGTATATCTTGTGAAGCACTTTGAGATGTTCTCCTGACATGAAAGACGCTGTACCAACTGTATGGATATTATTATTATGGAAGGTTTAACATCCACCTGAACAGGCAGATGGGGCCACAGTTTAATGTCTGATCGGAAGGACAGCACTTCCAACAACTCCAGCACTGTATTGCTGTGTCAGCTTAGACTCTATGAGTTCTAAGGCCTGTGTTTGATCGTGAGATATTTCTTTGGTCATGTGCAAACCAGTCACCAGACTGAACCTTCCACATATGTTTGCCACTTCCAACATGGACCTTTATTCCCTTTTCAGTAAGGTACAAAATGCTAACTAAATCCTTCACCAGTTTCAACATTTACCCATCCACCCATCCACCCAGCTATCCACCATACATACATACATACATACACACACACACACACTGACTGACTGACTGACTGACTAAAATTACTGAGTAACAGACTGAGCAAGGCTGTTCCCCTGCAACCTAATGGCATGTCTCCCAGAAAGAACAACACTTGGGGAAAAGTCAACGGCTGGCAACAGAGATTGAGGCACCCTGCACTCTTAGTAGGATATAAAAGCTTCATACCAATAGACAGTGAGTCACGTAACAGAATCACAGGGCGTGAAATAGCTGTGTAAGGGGCTGGAGGGATCACAGTGCAGATCTCACTCGCTGAGGTGTGTCTGATGAGGTCACTGCATTAGCACTGGGGTTCAGCTGGTAGATTAATATTTTAATGTTATCACTTGGCGATAGTAAACAGCAATGGCGTAGTTGCTGATTTATACGTTTACAGCAATCACTTGGTTTCTCTATCTCCCACATGTGATTCTCTTCCTTGGCTTACGACACAAATGACTACATGTCACACGGAGGGCAGAGGTCACAGGCAGCCTCCGACAAGCCCTGTGTGTTCTGTGTTCTTTGCTGTGTGCTATTCTATGTGCTGTTTGATGTGTAGTTCACTGTGTTGTGTTCTGTGCTCTCAGCGTGTTACAGTGAGTTCTATTCCCTGTGTAAAGTCAATGAAATAACCTCACTGAATCGTCTTCATTCCTTGCGGCCACCTATCCGAGCATCTGCTGAAATTTAAGTGAGAACAACTGGTTCCTTGTTTCCCACATGACAGATAATTGTCTGCTGCTTAGATTCACTTAGCAACTCCCGTTCTCCGTCACAAAGACAGAACGAGAATAATCAGTTCAAAAAAAGTTGTTTTTGTCACCGCAGCTATAACCTGGAGTGTAACTGTACGTCTGATAATACCAATAAGACGAATCCTTGGATTTAATCTAGCGCCTTATCGCATTGTGGAAACCTCTCAAAGTGTAGTGACTGTGTATTTTGTGCGCGAAGGCAGCAGCCAATTTGCACGCAGCAAAGCCCCACAAACAGCCATGTAGTGAATGACTGGCCAGGCTAATCATCTGAAACAACATTCTCTTTCATTACAACAACTTGTATACAGGGTGCCCTTCAGGCGAGCAGCATCATGGAGTGGGTATTTGTAATTCCTAACATTCATAATCTGCACCTTTGTGTGAGATATTCGTGATATTTCGCTGTGGAGACAGACAATCAGTTAATGTATGATATTAATATGATATAAAATATTACACGGTATTTCTCAATATTGAACAGTAAGAGAAGATAGTCAGACAATGACGTTTCACTCCTGACCTCGATCACAAACCACTGGCAGAAGGCAGGGGAGGTCCACTCTCTGGCGTGCATCCCACATCCAGGAAGATCGCTGGCTTCACACAACCTGTGTTCTTACCGACCTTTAGCAAGACACGCACAAGACGCTGTCACACACTGCACCGTCCGCAGAGAGTTATAACAACCACAACAACTTGCACTGACAGCATCACCATCCATGGTTGCACACTCCATCTTGTTAAGCCAGTCGGGAAACTTGGGGTCTTGTTTGACCCTCAATTATCCTTTCTACCCCACATCTGTGCCATGACCCGCTCTGCCTTCCCCCACCTCTGCAACGTCGCCCAGCTCCAACACTGTCTCACACCGCAGGCTGCCGAAACCCTCATACACGCATTCATTACATCAAGGCTCAACTATGCAAACTCATTGCTTGTCGGTCTCCCCAAATCCTCCCTCCGCAGGCTGAAAATCATCCAGAACTCTGCAGCCTGTGTCCTCTCCACACTAGGCTCCGCAACTCTATCACCACCATCCTTGCCCAACTCCACTGGCTTCCCATCACACAGAGGATACAGTTCAAGATCCTGGTCCTCACTTTCAAAGCCTTTCATGGTCTTGCTCCCCCCACCTCTCCGACCTCCTAACCCCCTACATCCTGTTCACTCCCTCCACTCAGCGGGCTCTGGCCTGCTTCACATCCCCCGCCTTGCTCGGCCCACTATTGGTGGGCGGGCCTTCCGCCACTCTGCTCCCACCTTCTGGAATTCCATCTCGCAGTCCCTCCGTCTCGCCCCCTCGCTTGCCACTTACAAGACCCACTTCAAGACCCTCCTCTTCGACTGTGCTTTCGATCTCCCTGCCTTCCACCCACCCCAATCCACACCCCCAACTCGGGTCTGAAACACTGACTGTCCAGCGCCTTGGGACATCCTCCCGATGTAAAAGACACTATACAAATGTAATTTTGTTGTTGTTGTTGTTGTGGGTTTAAATGATTTCCCAATAACAATAATAATCATAATAGTAAATGCTAATTACACTGAAGCAGGTAGATATTTCACCCTTCATAGGATTTTCCAATTTCATGATGGGAAACTAACTGTGGATTCTCCTCAGCGATGTTGTTAGTCCACAATTCAATCTGCCACGTCATTAATCGCAACTCCTTTGTGATCAGCACTTCATTTATTGTGACCAACAAAGCATCCCATTAAAATGATTCAATCAATGAAACCACAAGCATGCAAGATACTTTGATAATACTACTAATACTCACTGATGTCTTGGGACTTCCACCCGATGTGAAAGGTACTATAGAAATGTATTTTTGTTGTTTGTTGTTGATATGATCAAATGACCACATTGAGTAGTGACAATTCTCATGGGGGGGTGGGGGTTGCGCGTGGTTGATGGGGATGGGGTGGAAGCGGGTCTCCTTGGGGCCAAATTGGTTTCAGGGTGACATGTTGGGTAACAGAGTGTCAGAATCAAGCCCACCCTCTGTGGCGGTCTCTACTCCGGTTCTTGAGCCAGGCGGGTCTGCAGTTCTCCAGGGCATTGCTGATGACAGCACAGCCAGTCTGGCTCATCTGCAGGACTTGGAAGGGCAGATCAGTCACTGGGGGCAGGGAATCTTCCTACTCAGCTCCTGTTAAGATCTTATCTGATTATCTCTATTATTATGACTATTATTATTACTGTTTTCGAAAGCTGATTCACGCAGAAATGTTTTTACCCATGATACCAGCACAGGAGCTGAGCTCCAGTGTGTTGTGTAAAATGACAGTAACATCTGAATTTGCAAATCCTTAAGAAAATGGCTGATGATGGTGGAAGTTTATGCAGCGTACAGTTGGGAGTAAGAGATACACCTTCCTCCTACCTTATCCCAGGTATTGTACTTTTCTATAATATAGATGACATTTGTAATCTCATGTCCTTGACAACTGGCTTGGACTCTGGTACATCTGAACACCAAATATCCAACACATAAACTATCTGCAGTCTAACCGCCCGCACATCACTGCTTAACAAACAGGCCAAATAACAATCAGCGAGGGAGTGTTACAGTCTCATATACACACACACAGCACTGACACATACAACCTCAGCACACACCACATAGTCACACACTCGTGAATCCAATCCCCTACTGTTTGTAGGGCACTGCTGTGTGCAATTGGCTGCCACGTTTGGTTCACAAAACATACAGTCAATTCACTTTACATTATATTCCGTGAAGTCTTTGAGACGTCACATGATAAGGTGCTATATCAAATGCAAAGATTATTATTATTCACACACTTCCATATATATTCACTCCCAGACTTATGTAGATACACCGATACACACGTATATGCTCACATACTCATATACCCTCAAAATATCTGCAGAAAGCTAAGTTTCCTCTGTTTGTAAACTATGATCATCATCAGCTGTTGTACAATGTAAAAGGAGAGGCTTAAACACACACAAGTAGAGGTAGAAGTTTTGCCAATCAGGCCAGACTCAACTCTAGCCAGGAACTGTGCTTCTGGGCAAACACAACTGCAGTTTTCAATCTCACAAAGGCTGTAAACTCTTCCCTCCCCCCCATTGAGTTACGATATGAAATTCCTTTCTAGATCCCAAAAGGTTAAGCTCCACACACTCTACATGATGCAAATAAAAGGACTTTTATTTCATCTTGCGTTACATTGTTGTATTTCAGTACAGGTGCTCGCTGACATATTGGGAAATATATTTAATCGCCAACATGGTTTCTTCACAAGTTGGTTTGATCTGAGATTCAGGCAAAAGGAACCCATATCTGCCGGTGTCCCGCAGTTCAAAGGTAAAGGCGTATTTAATGCCCTCATCGTAAGCCCAGTCATCCGAACCCCCAGCTGCTGGATCTGTAATCAAGAACAAATGCCGGTTTGTGTGGGGTAGTGTCCCGGAGCGCTTGACAGTGACGGAGTCTGACCCTGAGCCAGGGGAGAGGCAGTGGGGAGGTGACTGTAAGCATGATCAAAACGGAAGGTCTTTAGGCAGGATTTGAAAGTGGGGAGGGAGGGAAAAGGCAAAGGGATTGAGGGAGAGAGTTCCGGAGTTTCGGGCGTAGTGACTAGAAGCATGGCCGCCAATGGTGAAGCGGAGGGGGCGAGGGATGAACAGGGGGCCGGAGCTGGCCTGGCGGAGGTAGTGGGTGGTCGAGTGGGAAGGGGGAAGCAAGTCAGATAGGTAGGGAGGTGCGAGGACATGAAGGGATTTGAAAACGAGCGAGAGGATGTTGAAGTCGAGCTCAGGGTTGCAGCTCAGGCACCGGGCAGTTTGTTCATTTCATATCCAGAACGGAAAGGCCAAACTGCTCACAACCTGGATACAATCAGGACATCCTGGCACTGGAGAGCAGCTAGACTGAGAGCTGGAATGAGACCTCAGTTACAGGGAGAAGCTACAGGAGGTGGGGAGGTTTGCACTGGAGACCAGAGGCTTCAGGGGAGATCTGATGGTCTATTATACAATGACCCTTGATTTCAATAGTGTGTCAATAATCACATGTATTAACTGTAGTGTATTTTTAACAAACACAGTACAATTCACACATAGCAATGTCCCATAAACATCTATGAAGCGAATGAACAATTTTATCTGGGGAATTGTTGGCCAGGACACTGGGTGAGAGAAACTCCCTTCTCTTTTCAAATAGTGCCATGGGATCTTTAACATCCACCTGGACATCCAGAGGACAACACCTCCGACAATGCAGGGCTCCCCTGGCACCGCACTGGATCATCGGTCTGGACCATGAGTTCAAACTCCCGACCTTAGTGAAGTAGTAAGATCCTAAACGAAGTTGATAAGACAAAGCCCAGTAACAGGATCACAAACAGGGCACACAGACTCCATATTCAACAAAAGGAAGGTGAACAGGCGAGGTGTAACAGCCTTACACAGTGATTAGCAACAATGTGGTGTAGTCACCCCAGATTGTGTCCTCAGATTCGGAAGAGAATTAGACAATGATTCAGTGAAGGGCTGGCAGGTGTGTGGGGTCTGTCTAATTTGGAACAGGCCAGAGGGCTCACAATAGTCTTTGGAGTCCTGCACACTATGTGGAATATATGTATTAATTTAATATAAATGTTACTGTTATTTGCTTGTTAAATTCAGGTTAAGATAGTCAAAAAGAATGGATGGTAAGGAGAGCTTACAGATAGTCACTGCTCCAGGACCGTACACATACTGTGTCCCGTACATGCTGCCCAGTTTGTTGATCGCAGTCAGAGCTATGCTATTCTGGAATAAAATATCCCAGGAGAAAAGACGTCATTGTCAATCACAATTTAGAAACATACAATATAATTACATTTACACAGCACTTCTCACATCGGGAGAACATCTTAAAGCCTGCCACATAACTGTTGGGGGGGGAAGATGATTGAATGTCCAACAACTACGTTTTGAGATGGGCGTTAAAATAGGGGAGTGCGGGAGCAAGTTGGAGGGACTCTAGGCTAGAGTTTCAGAGAATGTTCGGTATATACACTGGAACATTGAGCACTAACCCACTTGTTATGTATCTTGTAAAATTTCCTGCAGGTTCCTCACTCCCCCCCCAGCTCAGCCAACGTTCTCACCGGACAGGGAGGTGGTGAACGATGCATGTTTTTTGTAGCACCTTTTTTCTATCAGAAGTTGTACATGTGAAGTCTCAAAGCACTTCACAAGTAAGGTAAGAGGGTGACTGTTTCTATCAGCAGAGACAACAAGCACAGCAAGCTCCACAAACATGGTTAGGGTTAGAGTGGCAATGGGACCTTTAACATCTATCTGAAGAAGAGCCAACTGGTCCTTCTGTAATTCTGACCTGAAAGACGACACCTGTGATTGCGCTGTTTGTCCCCCACTCACTACTACAATAGAGCTTAGACTGATAAAGGTCTGCCAGAGATATGTAATGAGGATTTTGCCTCAGTTTTTACAGCATGGTGGTGAGACACTGAGCGTACAAGAGGAGGATGTGCAACAATTTGAAATGAGAGCTATAGGAAAGCCAGTGGTGCTGAGAAATTGATGGGACTCAGAGAGGACAGGTCACCTGGGCCTGATGGCAGGGAACGAGAATGCTGAGGGACGTCAGGGAGGAAATAGTAAATGCGCTGACTGCAATTTTTCACATCCGTGGAGTTGAAAATTGTGTCAGGAGACTGGAGTAAGCTAATTCATTTTAGAGGCTATAATATAGGATATTAATAACCAATTGGAAAAACATGGCTTGATTAAAGACAGTCGGCATTGGATTTGTTGCAAACAATCTTGCCCGGCAAATCTAATAGAGGTTTTTGATTAAATAATTGAAAGAATCAATGGGGATGTGCTGTACAGTATCAGGATTTTTAGAAAGGTTTGATATGGTGACCCATAATAATGATAATAATAATAATCCTTGCATTTGATATAGCGCCTTATCACGTCTTTTTGATGTTTCAAAGCGCTTTACAGAATATACTGGATATTGAATTGACTGTATATTTTGTGGGTGAAAAGCGGAAGCCAATTGTGCACAACAGTCTCCCACAAACAGTCGTGGATTTATTCACCAAATCATTATTATTATTTTTTTAAAAGGATTATTACCCCCGCTAAAAGCGATCCGATAATCGACTAACAACCAGGTTCCTACTTGCTGCTAGGTGAACAGAGACATGCGGGGTAATGAAACTAGCCCAATGCTTCACCCTGTCTGGGAATCCAACCCAGGTCCGCTCGCTTGCGAGGCAAGTGCTCTAGTTACTAAGCTACAGGACTCCTATAGTGGTGTTAAAGGTAGCCACTGACCTCACTGCCAGTAGCGGGCTGCCAGTAACATCCTGTGTGGCCGTGAGGCTGGCCATGCTGTGCCAGACTTGCCACACTCTGGTTTCCATGGTGCCAAGGACAGACATGTTATACATAGACTCGTATACCCACTGGCCATGCTAATTACATGGCGTCTGGTATCAATTCCTGTCACAGGGGTTAACATACCAGCTCTTCATGGTTGGCTGCCAGATTGTAGGTGTAGGAATATGGGAAGAGGCACATCTGAGAGTAGGAGTGCATGGTGAGGTAAGCCTTGATGACTGAACGCTGGCTACGAATGTAATCAGCCACAGCCTTGACTACTTTCTCAGACTCTACTACGGGGCCGCAGTACGTCTCTGAGCAGGGGTTCTTGGAGGCCCCGATCTCTGTGTGAAAGAGCAATACAGTCAAATACACTCATGAGAGAACATAGCTACAAAGGAACAGGAAGAGGCCACTTAGCCCCTTGAGCCTGTTCAGCCATCCTACTAGATCCTGGCTGATCTGTATCTCAACTCCATTTACGCACTTTTGTCCCATATTCCTTGATACCCTGACCTAACAAAAATCTATCCTCCCCAGTCTTGAAAATTTTAATGGATCCAGAATCCACAGCCTTTTGGGGGGTAAGTTCCAGATTTACACTACCCTTTGGATGAAAAAAAGTAGTGGGTGGCGGTTCCTTTCTCTACAGAGTTCTTAAATATATACAGGAGAGCCTCAGCTATCTCCTCTCTTGTTGCGGATACAGTCAAACACTGACACACACAGACCGACAACAACCACAACAACTTGCACTTATATAGCGCTCTCCACGCAGAGCAGCATCTCGGAGCACTTAACAGCAGCGGGGCTTGTGGAGAGGCATGTGGCAATGGGGAGAAAAGTGGGGAAAAGTTGGACTTTAAATTTTAAACAAACCCCCGAGAGAGGGGGGTGTTGCTCACCACACCATCCTGCGTTCCAGTTTCTGTTGGGATCAGTTCCCCGACAATTAGTCCCAGGGTTCCGAGAACGGGTCTTTCTCCACATTCGGTCCTGCAGAGAAACAGTAAGTGATCACCAGAGATGGTAATGAAGGCCCAGCTGATCCCATGGTCCCTGAACATCTGCACCCCCCCACACCTGTCACACACCCCCAGCCAGGTTTCTGAATAAGTTGAAGGTGCCTGAGCCTCGGGATTTCTTTGACTTCAGACCCATTCGTTCAGAGTTAACCCCTTTAGGTTTCTCTCCTTCACTAAACTCCAGGCGATGGGCAACAAAGTTGTAGCCAAAGATAAATAATTCTTACTTTTTTTAAAAAAATTACAACTGAGAAAAAGTTACTGGATTTACTAAAAATATAGTTTGTAACATGGACTGCAAGTGCTGGTGATAATTAATACATCACACATGACATTCAGTAAATAACAGGTAAGAAATCGTGAACTGCAGCACACTATAATACAAGCAAATAAAAACTGAGATAAAAGCACAAATACTTCTGTCTCCTGACTGCTCTAAACAAATCAAGTTGACTTTTATTTGCTGCTTTTTCTCGGTCACCTTGAAAGCGTCAAAGTCACCACACATCATGGTAAGAGAGCGTTCTGCCACTCCATCTCCTCTTGCTGGCTCACGTACAGTATCCAGCTCACATCTCTACCCTAAGGCGCACCATAAGGGTCAGCCAGGGGAGCAGACAAAATGGAACAGGAGAGGATCATGTCAGCCGGGTGTCCACCTGCTGCTGATTCCCCACAGCCCCCTTTACATGGTCGGTCATCAGTGAGGACAGTCAGGCTGGGCTGACATTCCACTGCACATACTCCCAGTCTTGGCTCACACCAATTGGACAAGGTATTTGGCAGATGACCAGGCTGTGTTGACCATACAACAGCCCCAAAGAAGTGCCTCGAGGAGAGGGGCCAATACTGGAGTGAACAGCAGAACTTTGCAGAGCCCCAAAAGCACTGGCCCAAAGAAAAGAATCTCTGCCTCACGATCGGATAAAAACGGGTCAGAATGTTTCCTGTGAAACAGGGGCCACATTTACACCGCTCTAAAGGACAAAGGGTAACAGTGTGTTACTCGGCTCAGCACCGGGTAAAGTTTCTCACTTGTAATAGCACCATTTGCCAAATGGAGTCGGTGACTGCGGATGGGCGGAGAGAGCGTGAAAGCTGTGCTGAGCGCGACCTGTCACTGCGCTACAGCCTCACAGCACCGAGAGCGCCTGGGAGCGCGTCTGTCTCTCTGTCCGTCTCTCTGTCCGTCTGTCTGTCTCTTTGTGAGTGTGTCTGTCTGTGTGTCTGTCTGTGTGTGTGTGCGTATCTCTGTCTGGGTATGTGAGTGAGTGTGACTGTATGTGTGTGTGTGTGTGCGCGCGTCTCTCTGTCTCTGTGTGTGTATGTGTGACTGTGTGTAAGTGTGACTGTGTAAGTGTGAGTGTGACTGTGTGTGAGTGAGTGTGAGTGTGACAGCGCTGCTGGGGGTCTGTGTGTGAGTGTGACTGTGAGTGTGTGAGTGTGTGTGAGTGTGAGTGAGTGTGACAGCGCTGCTGGGGGTCTGTGTGTGAGTGTGACTGTGTGTGAGTGTGAGTGTGTGTGAGTGTGTGAGTGTGACAGCGCTGCTGGGGGTCTGTGTGTGAGTGTGACTGTGTGTGAGTGTGAGTGTGTGAGTGTGAGTGAGTGTGACAGCGCTGCTGGGGGTCTGTGTGTGAGTGTGTGTGTGAGTGTGAGTGTGTGTGAGTGTGACAGCGCTGCTGGGGGTCTGTGTGTGAGTGTGAGTGTGTGTGAGTGTGAGTGTGTGAGTGTGACTGTGTGAGTGTGACAGCGCTGCTGGGGGTCTGTGTGTGAGTGTGACTGTGTGAGTGAGTGTGACAGCGCTGCTGGGGGTCTGTGTGTGAGTGTGAGTGTGAGTGTGTGAGTGTGTGAGTGTGACAGCGCTGGGGCTGAGTGAGTGTGCTGTGTGTGAGTGTGTGAGTGTGACTGTGTGTGACTGTGTGTAGTGTGTGAGTGTGAGTGAGTGTGACAGCGCTGCTGGGGGTCTGTGTGTGAGTGTGACTGTGTGTGAGTGTGAGTGTGTGTGAGTGTGTGAGTGTGACAGCGCTGCTGGGGGTCTGTGTGTGAGTGTGACTGTGTGTGAGTGTGAGTGTGAGTGAGTGTGACAGCGCTGCTGGGGGTCTGTGTGTGAGTGTGAGTGTGTGAGTGTGAGTGTGTGAGTGTGAGTGAGTGTGACAGCGCTGCTGGGGGTCTGTGTGTGAGTGTGACTGTGTGTGAGTGTGAGTGTGTGAGTGAGTGTGTGAGTGTGAGTGAGTGTGTGTGAGTGTGACTGTGTGTGAGTGTGAGTGTGAGTGTGAGTGTGACAGCGCTGCAGGCTGTAATATAAACATACACTGCCCCAGGCTGTAATACATACACACTCACTGGGCAGAGGGAGAGTGTGAGAGTGAGAGAGAGAGGGAACGAGTGTGTGAGTAATTGTGAAAGAATATGTATGAGTGGGAATAATTATGAGTGTGGGAGTCAGCGTGAGTGTGTGTGAGTGATTGTGTGAGTGTGATCGTGGTGAATCGTGCAGCAATAATAATAATCCTTGCATTCGATACAATATTAATAATAATAATAATCCTCGCCTAACAACAATCCCTCCGTACATTTGATACAGTACATTTCATGTCAGGAGAACATCTCAAAGTGCTTTACAGGATTTACTAGAAAGTCTACTGATTGTATTTTGTGGGCAAACATGGCAGCCAACTTGCACGCAAGAGGGTCCCTCCTCTTTTCAAATAATGCCATGCCTAACACGTGCCTTGTGTCAGTCTAGCAGCACTCTCGCCACTGAGTCAGAAGGTTGTGCGTTCAAACCTCATATCAGGTTTTAGAACAAATATAGTCTAAGCCGATGCTCCAATGCGGTGCTGGGGGTATTTTGAATTATCAGAGGTGCCGTCCTTTGGATGAGATATTAAACCGAGGTCCTGTCTGCCTGTTCAGGTGGACAATAAAAATCCCATGGCACTGTTCGAAAAGAGAAGGGAGTTTCTCTCTCCCAGTGTCTTGGCCAACAAACCCCCAAATAAAATTGGCCATTCACTCCATGGCTGTTTGTGGGATGTCTGGCTGCCATGTTTGCTCACAAGATATAATCAGTAGTATATCTTGTGAAGCACTTTGAGATGTTCTCCTGACATGAAAGACGCTGTACCAACTGTATGGATATTATTATTATGGAAGGTTTAACATCCACCTGAACAGGCAGATGGGGCCACAGTTTAATGTCTGATCGGAAGGACAGCACTTCCAACAACTCCAGCACTGTATTGCTGTGTCAGCTTAGACTCTATGAGTTCTAAGGCCTGTGTTTGATCGTGAGATATTTCTTTGGTCATGTGCAAACCAGTCACCAGACTGAACCTTCCACATATGTTTGCCACTTCCAACATGGACCTTTATTCCCTTTTCAGTAAGGTACAAAATGCTAACTAAATCCTTCACCAGTTTCAACATTTACCCATCCACCCATCCACCCAGCTATCCACCATACATACATACATACATACATACACACACACACACACACACTGACTGACTGACTGACTAAAATTACTGTGTAACAGACTGAGCAAGGCTGTTCCCCTGCAACCTAATGGCATGTCTCCCAGAAAGAACAACACTTGGGGAAAAGTCAACGGCTGGCAACAGAGATTGAGGCACCCTGCACTCTTAGTAGGATATAAAAGCTTCATACCAATAGACAGTGAGTCACGTAACAGAATCACAGGGTGTGAAATAGCTGTGTGAGGGATCACAGTGCAGATCTCACTCGCTGAGGTGTGTCTGATGAGGTCACTGCATTAGCACTGGGGTTCAGCTGGTAGATTAATATTTTAATGTTATCACTTGGCGATAGTAAACAGCAATGGCGTAGTTGCTGATTTATACGTTTACAGCAATCACTTGGTTTCTCTATCTCCCACATGTGATTCTCTTCCTTGGCTTACGACACAAATGACTACATGTCACACGGAGGGCAGAGGTCACAGGCAGCCTCCGACAAGCCCTGTGTGTTCTGTGTTCTTTGCTGTGTGCTATTCTATGTGCTGTTTGATGTGTAGTTCACTGTGTTGTGTTCTGTGCTCTCAGCGTGTTACAGTGAGTTCTATTCCCTGTGTAAAGTCAATGAAATAACCTCACTGAATCGTCTTCATTCCTTGCGGCCACCTATCCGAGCATCTGCTGAAATTTAAGTGAGAACAACTGGTTCCTTGTTTCCCACATGACAGATAATTGTCTGCTGCTTAGATTCACTTAGCAACTCCCGTTCTCCGTCACAAAGACAGAACGAGAATAATCAGTTCAAAAAAAGTTGTTTTTGTCACCGCAGCTATAACCTGGAGTGTAACTGTACGTCTGATAATACCAATAAGACGAATCCTTGGATTTAATCTAGCGCCTTATCGCATTGTGGAAACCTCTCAAAGTGTAGTGACTGTGTATTTTGTGCGCGAAGGCAGCAGCCAATTTGCACGCAGCAAAGCCCCACAAACAGCCATGTAGTGAATGACTGGCCAGGCTAATCATCTGAAACAACATTCTCTTTCATTACAACAACTTGTATACAGGGTGCCCTTCAGGCGAGCAGCATCATGGAGTGGGTATTTGTAATTCCTAACATTCATAATCTGCACCTTTGTGTGAGATATTCGTGATATTTCGCTGTGGAGACAGACAATCAGTTAATGTATGATATTAATATGATATAAAATATTACACGGTATTTCTCAATATTGAACAGTAAGAGAAGATAGTCAGACAATGACGTTTCACTCCTGACCTCGATCACAAACCACTGGCAGAAGGCAGGGGAGGTCCACTCTCTGGCGTGCATCCCACAGTCCAGGAAGATCGCTGGCTTCACACAACCTGTGTTCTTACCGACCTTTAGCAAGACACGCACAAGACGCTGTCACACACTGCACCGTCCGCAGAGAGCTTATAACAACAACAACAACTTGCACTGACAGCATCACCATCCATGGTTGCACACTCCATCTTGTTAAGCCAGTCGGGAAACTTGGGGTCTTGTTTGACCCTCAATTATCCTTTCTACCCCACATCTGTGCCATGACCCGCTCTGCCTTCCCCCACCTCTGCAACGTCGCCCAGCTCCAACACTGTCTCACACCGCAGGCTGCCGAAACCCTCATACACGCATTCATTACATCAAGGCTCAACTATGCAAACTCATTGCTGGTCGGTCTCCCCAAATCCTCCCTCCGCAGGCTGAAAATCATCCAGAACTCTGCAGCCTGTGTCCTCTCCTACACTAGGCTCCGCAACTCTATCACCACCATCCTTGCCCAACTCCACTGGCTTCCCATCACACAGAGGATACAGTTCAAGATCCTGGTCCTCACTTTCAAAGCCTTTCATGGTCTTGCTCCCCCCACCTCTCCGACCTCCTAACCCCCTACATCCTGTTCGCTCCCTCCGCTCAGCGGGCTCTGGCCTGCTTCACATCCCCCGCCTTGCTCGGCCCACTATTGGTGGGCGGGCCTTCCGCCACTCTGCTCCCACCTTCTGGAATTCCATCTCGCAGTCCCTCCGTCTCGCCCCCTCGCTTGCCACTTACAAGACCCACTTCAAGACCCTCCTCTTCGACTGTGCTTTCGATCTCCCTGCCCTCCACCCACCCCAATCCACACCCCCAGCTCGGGTCTGAAACACTGACTGTCCAGCGCCTTGGGACATCCTCCCGATGTAAAAGACACTATACAAATGTAATTTTGTTGTTGTTGTGGGTTTAAATGATTTCCCAATAACAATAATAATCATAATAGTAAATGCTAATTGCACTGAAGCAGGTAGATATTTCACCCTTCATAGGATTTTCCAATTTCATGATGGGAAACTAACTGTGGATTCTCCTCAGCGATGTTGTTAGTCCACAATTCAATCTGCCACGTCATTAATCGCAACTCCTTTGTGATCAGCACTTCATTTATTGTGACCAACAAAGCATCCCATTAAAATGATTCAATCAATGAAACCACAAGCATGCAAGATACTTTGATAATACTACTAATACTCACTGATGTCTTGGGACTTCCACCCGATGTGAAAGGTACTATAGAAATGTATTTTTGTTGTTTGTTGTTGATATGATCAAATGACCACATTGAGTAGTGACAATTCTCATGGGGGGGTGGGGGTTGCGCGTGGTTGATGGGGATGGGGTGGAAGCGGGGTCTCCTTGGGGCCAAATTGGTTTCAGGGTGACATGTTGGGTAACAGAGTGTCAGAATCAAGCCCACCCTCTGTGGCGGTCTCTACTCCGGTTCTTGAGCCAGGCGGGTCTGCAGTTCTCCAGGGCATTGCTGATGACAGCACAGCCAGTCTGGCTCATCTGCAGGACTTGGAAGGGCAGATCAGTCACTGGGGGCAGGGAATCTTCCTACTCAGCTCCTGTTAAGATCTTATCTGATTATCTCTATTATTATGACTATTATTATTACTGTTTTCGAAAGCTGATTCACGCAGAAATGTTTTTACCCATGATACCAGCACAGGAGCTGAGCTCCAGTGTGTTGTGTAAAATGACAGTAACATCTGAATTTGCAAATCCTTAAGAAAATGGCTGATGATGGTGGAAGTTTATGCAGCGTACAGTTGGGAGTAAGAGATACACCTTCCTCCTACCTTATCCCAGGTATTGTACTTTTCTATAATATAGATGACATTTGTAATCTCATGTCCTTGACAACTGGCTTGGACTCTGGTACATCTGAACACCAAATATCCAACACATAAACTATCTGCAGTCTAACCGCCCGCACATCACTGCTTAACAAACAGGCCAAATAACAATCAGCGAGGGAGTGTTACAGTCTCATATACACACACACAGCACTGACACATACAACCTCAGCACACACCACATAGTCACACACTCGTGAATCCAATCCCCTACTGTTTGTAGGGCACTGCTGTGTGCAATTGGCTGCCACGTTTGGTTCACAAAACATACAGTCAATTCACTTTACATTATATTCCGTGAAGTCTTTGAGACGTCACATGATAAGGTGCTATATCAAATGCAAAGATTATTATTATTCACACACTTCCATATATATTCACTCCCAGACTTATGTAGATACACCGATACACACGTATATGCTCACATACTCATATACCCTCAAAATATCTGCAGAAAGCTAAGTTTCCTCTGTTTGTAAACTATGATCATCATCAGCTGTTGTACAATGTAAAAGGAGAGGCTTAAACACACACAAGTAGAGGTAGAAGTTTTGCCAATCAGGCCAGACTCAACTCTAGCCAGGAACTGTGCTTCTGGGCAAACACAACTGCAGTTTTCAATCTCACAAAGGCTGTAAACTCTTCCCTCCCCCCCATTGAGTTACGATATGAAATTCCTTTCTAGATCCCAAAAGGTTAAGCTCCACACACTCTACATGATGCAAATAAAAGGACTTTTATTTCATCTTGCGTTACATTGTTGTATTTCAGTACAGGTGCTCGCTGACATATTGGGAAATATATTTAATCGCCAACATGGTTTCTTCACAAGTTGGTTTGATCTGAGATTCAGGCAAAAGGAACCCATATCTGCCGGTGTCCCGCAGTTCAAAGGTAAAGGCGTATTTAATGCCCTCATCGTAAGCCCAGTCATCCGAACCCCCAGCTGCTGGATCTGTAATCAAGAACAAATGCCGGTTTGTGTGGGGTAGTGTCCCGGAGCGCTTGACAGTGACGGAGTCTGACCCTGAGCCAGGGGGAGAGGCAGTGGGGAGGTGACTGTAAGCATGATCAAAACGGAAGGTCTTTAGGCAGGATTTGAAAGTGGGGAGGGAGGGGAAAAGGCAAAGGGATTGAGGGAGAGAGTTCCGGAGTTTCGGGGCGTAGTGACTAGAAGCATGGCCGCCAATGGTGAAGCGGAGGGGGCGAGGGATGAACAGGGGGCCGGAGCTGGCCTGGCGGAGGTAGTGGGTGGTCGAGTGGGAAGGGGGAAGCAAGTCAGATAGGTAGGGAGGTGCGAGGACATGAAGGGATTTGAAAACGAGCGAGAGGATGTTGAAGTCGAGCTCAGGGTTGCAGCTCAGGCACCGGGCAGTTTGTTCATTTCATATCCAGAACGGAAAGGCCAAACTGCTCACAACCTGGATACAATCAGGACATCCTGGCACTGGAGAGCAGCTAGACTGAGAGCTGGAATGAGACCTCAGTTACAGGGAGAAGCTACAGGAGGTGGGGAGGTTTGCACTGGAGACCAGAGGCTTCAGGGGAGATCTGATGGTCTATTATACAATGACCCTTGATTTCAATAGTGTGTCAATAATCACATGTATTAACTGTAGTGTATTTTTAACAAACACAGTACAATTCACACATAGCAATGTCCCATAAACATCTATGAAGCGAATGAACAATTTTATCTGGGGAATTGTTGGCCAGGACACTGGGTGAGAGAAACTCCCTTCTCTTTTCAAATAGTGCCATGGGATCTTTAACATCCACCTGGACATCCAGAGGACAACACCTCCGACAATGCAGGGCTCCCCTGGCACCGCACTGGATCATCGGTCTGGACCATGAGTTCAAACTCCCGACCTTAGTGAAGTAGTAAGATCCTAAACGAAGTTGATAAGACAAAGCCCAGTAACAGGATCACAAACAGGGCACACAGACTCCATATTCAACAAAAGGAAGGTGAACAGGCGAGGTGTAACAGCCTTACACAGTGATTAGCAACAATGTGGTGTAGTCACCCCAGATTGTGTCCTCAGATTCGGAAGAGAATTAGACAATGATTCAGTGAAGGGCTGGCAGGTGTGTGGGGTCTGTCTAATTTGGAACAGGCCAGAGGGCTCACAATAGTCTTTGGAGTCCTGCACACTATGTGGAATATATGTATTAATTTAATATAAATGTTACTGTTATTTGCTTGTTAAATTCAGGTTAAGATAGTCAAAAAGAATGGATGGTAAGGAGAGCTTACAGATAGTCACTGCTCCAGGACCGTACACATACTGTGTCCCGTACATGCTGCCCAGTTTGTTGATCGCAGTCAGAGCTATGCTATTCTGGAATAAAATATCCCAGGAGAAAAGACGTCATTGTCAATCACAATTTAGAAACATACAATATAATTACATTTACACAGCACTTCTCACATCGGGAGAACATCTTAAAGCCTGCCACATAACTGTTGGGGGGGGGAAGATGATTGAATGTCCAACAACTACGTTTTGAGATGGGCGTTAAAATAGGGGAGTGCGGGAGCAAGTTGGAGGGACTCTAGGCTAGAGTTTCAGAGAATGTTCGGTATATACACTGGAACATTGAGCACTAACCCACTTGTTATGTATCTTGTAAAATTTCCTGCAGGTTCCTCACTCCCCCCCCAGCTCAGCCAACGTTCTCACCGGACAGGGAGGTGGTGAACGATGCATGTTTTTTGTAGCACCTTTTTTCTATCAGAAGTTGTACATGTGAAGTCTCAAAGCACTTCACAAGTAAGGTAAGAGGGTGACTGTTTCTATCAGCAGAGACAACAAGCACAGCAAGCTCCACAAACATGGTTAGGGTTAGAGTGGCAATGGGACCTTTAACATCTATCTGAAGAAGAGCCAACTGGTCCTTCTGTAATATCTGACCTGAAAGACGACACCTGTGATTGCGCTGTTTGTCCCCCACTCACTACTACAATAGAGCTTAGACTGATAAAGGTCTGCCAGAGATATGTAATGAGGATTTTGCCTCAGTTTTTACAGCATGGTGGTGAGACACTGAGCGTACAAGAGGAGGATGTGCAACAATTTGAAATGAGAGCTATAGGAAAGCCAGTGGTGCTGAAGAAATTGATGGGACTCAGAGAGGACAGGTCACCTGGGCCTGATGGCAGGGAACGAGAATGCTGAGGGACGTCAGGGAGGAAATAGTAAATGCGCTGACTGCAATTTTTCACATCCGTGGAGTTGAAAATTGTGTCAGGAGACTGGAGTAAGCTAATTCATTTTAGAGGCTATAATATAGGATATTAATAACCAATTGGAAAAACATGGCTTGATTAAAGACAGTCGGCATTGGATTTGTTGCAAACAATCTTGCCCGGCAAATCTAATAGAGGTTTTTGATTAAATAATTGAAAGAATCAATGGGGATGTGCTGTACAGTATCAGGATTTTTAGAAAGGTTTGATATGGTGACCCATAATAATGATAATAATAATAATCCTTGCATTTGATATAGCGCCTTATCACGTCTTTTTGATGTTTCAAAGCGCTTTACAGAATATACTGGATATTGAATTGACTGTATATTTTGTGGGTGAAAAGCGGAAGCCAATTGTGCACAACAGTCTCCCACAAACAGTCGTGGATTTATTCACCAAATCATTATTATTATTTTTTTAAAAGGATTATTACCCCCGCTAAAAGCGATCCGATAATCGACTAACAACCAGGTTCCTACTTGCTGCTAGGTGAACAGAGACATGCGGGGTAATGAAACTAGCCCAATGCTTCACCCTGTCTGGGAATCCAACCCAGGTCCGCTCGCTTGCGAGGCAAGTGCTCTAGTTACTAAGCTACAGGACTCCTATAGTGGTGTTAAAGGTAGCCACTGACCTCACTGCCAGTAGCGGGCTGCCAGTAACATCCTGTGTGGCCGTGAGGCTGGCCATGCTGTGCCAGACTTGCCACACTCTGGTTTCCATGGTGCCAAGGACAGACATGTTATACATAGACTCGTATACCCACTGGCCATGCTAATTACATGGCGTCTGGTATCAATTCCTGTCACAGGGGTTAACATACCAGCTCTTCATGGTTGGCTGCCAGATTGTAGGTGTAGGAATATGGGAAGAGGCACATCTGAGAGTAGGAGTGCATGGTGAGGTAAGCCTTGATGACTGAACGCTGGCTACGAATGTAATCAGCCACAGCCTTGACTACTTTCTCAGACTCTACTACGGGGCCGCAGTACGTCTCTGAGCAGGGGTTCTTGGAGGCCCCGATCTCTGTGTGAAAGAGCAATACAGTCAAATACACTCATGAGAGAACATAGCTACAAAGGAACAGGAAGAGGCCACTTAGCCCCTTGAGCCTGTTCAGCCATCCTACTAGATCCTGGCTGATCTGTATCTCAACTCCATTTACGCACTTTTGTCCCATATTCCTTGATACCCTGACCTAACAAAAATCTATCCTCCCCAGTCTTGAAAATTTTAATGGATCCAGAATCCACAGCCTTTTGGGGGGTAAGTTCCAGATTTACACTACCCTTTGGATGAAAAAAAGTAGTGGGTGGCGGTTCCTTTCTCTACAGAGTTCTTAAATATATACAGGAGAGCCTCAGCTATCTCCTCTCTTGTTGCGGATACAGTCAAACACTGACACACACAGACCGACAACAACCACAACAACTTGCACTTATATAGCGCTCTCCACGCAGAGCAGCATCTCGGAGCACTTAACAGCAGCGGGGCTTGTGGAGAGGCATGTGGCAATGGGGAGAAAAGTGGGGAAAAGTTGGACTTTAAATTTTAAACAAACCCCCGAGAGAGGGGGGTGTTGCTCACCACACCATCCTGCGTTCCAGTTTCTGTTGGGATCAGTTCCCCGACAATTAGTCCCAGGGTTCCGAGAACGGGTCTTTCTCCACATTCGGTCCTGCAGAGAAACAGTAAGTGATCACCAGAGATGGTAATGAAGGCCCAGCTGATCCCATGGTCCCTGAACATCTGCACCCCCCACACCTGTCACACACCCCCAGCCAGGTTTCTGAATAAGTTGAAGGTGCCTGAGCCTCGGGATTTCTTTGACTTCAGACCCATTCGTTCAGAGTTAACCCCTTTAGGTTTCTCTCCTTCACTAAACTCCAAGCGATGGGCAACAAAGTTGTAGCCAAAGATAAATAATTCTTACTTTTTTTAAAAAATTACAACTGAGAAAAAGTTACTGGATTTACTAAAAATATAGTTTGTAACATGGACTACAAGTGCTGGTGATAATTAATACATCACACATGACATTCAGTAAATAACAGGTAAGAAATCGTGAACTGCAGCACACTATAATACAAGCAAATAAAAACTGAGATAAAAGCACAAATACTTCTGTCTCCTGACTGCTCTAAACAAATCAAGTTGACTTTTATTTGCTGCTTTTTCTCGGTCACCTTGAAAGCGTCAAAGTCACCACACATCATGGTAAGAGAGCGTTCTGCCACTCCATCTCCTCTTGCTGGCTCACGTACAGTATCCAGCTCACATCTCTACCCTAAGGCGCACCATAAGGGTCAGCCAGGGGAGCAGACAAAATGGAACAGGAGAGGATCATGTCAGCCGGGTGTCCACCTGCTGCTGATTCCCCACAGCCCCCTTTACATGGTCGGTCATCAGTGAGGACAGTCAGGCTGGGCTGACATTCCACTGCACATACTCCCAGTCTTGGCTCACACCAATTGGACAAGGTATTTGGCAGATGACCAGGCTGTGTTGACCATACAACAGCCCCAAAGAAGTGCCTCGAGGAGAGGGGCCAATACTGGAGTGAACAGCAGAACTTTGCAGAGCCCCAAAAGCACTGGCCCAAAGAAAAAGAATCTCTGCCTCCTTCTTCTGGGTAGTGACCCGTGAGCTTCCCATTGACGTGAGCAGCTGAGCAACAGGCAGAGGCTGTGTCTATCTAGTGACACGAGTATCAATGCACACCACTGGCAGCTAATAGCGACAGAACTTACACATGGACTTGTGGGTACGTACATTAGTCCAGGTATACGAGTAACCATCAACGTTGATGACTGGGACAACGAGGAAGTCCATGGTGTTGAGAAGGTCGGTCATTGTGGGATCTGATCCATAGGTGGACACAGCCTGGAGAAGTGAGGAGAGCACTTAACTACAAATCAGCAGAAAATCTTAAACTCGTTAGTACTTTACTGGAAGGAAGAGTATCTTAAACACACAAAACGCTCTTTGATATGTTTTACAAATTTGATAATGTAAACAGGGATGTTAAAGGTTTGCGCCCAAGAGTGTTCTATGGTGACCTTTATCTGGAAGGTCCAGGAAAGCCCACCTGGGAACAAACAAAAATATGATTTACAGCCAACAATGAAGCTTTGGGCTATTGTGTCTGCTTGGATCTCCGAAAGATCTCTCCACTCCATTGCCCCCGAAGGGAAGATTTTCCCCCCTACAGTGATGTCTGGGACACAGAATAACCTTATGGTCCAACCCCACCCCCCCCACCACTGAATCCCTGACATATTGGGTGTGGGGCGATGCCTGGAATAAGTGAAAAAGACTAGTTTATCTGTAGGATTCAGAGTCATTCTCACCATGATGTGACCAGGGGCTCCCCTGTCTGTCATTCTGATGCTGATCAGCTGTGCTTTAACCAAACTGTGACGTGACATGAAATAAATTGTCATCTCAGGTTGTATCTAGTGATGATGCAGTTCACCACAAGCTCTGCCCACTGTGTCCTTGTGACTGGAATAACATTGCTACCATCTGATCCCTCTGGAGAGAGGCTGGAGTGTCCAGATCAGCGCTGAATCCTCCTCACCCAACACCAATTCTATGTACAATCCCATCCTGATTGCACAATTGCACACACAATTCCTATGTACTTTGTTAACCAATCCATAAACCCCCCCCCCACCACCCCTACCCAACCAACCTCGTTCACAAACCACTGACAGAATGCGGGGGAGATCCACTCTCTGGCGTGGATGCCACAGTCCATGAAGATCGCTGGTTTCACTGATCCCGTCTTCTTACCGATCTTTGAGAAAAGAACAAAGTTATTGTCACACAGAATTTAGAAGGGAAGAGTGATAGAAACACCCCAGCTTTGGGTTGTTCTTTAGAGGGCATGGGGGGAGGTACCGCTAGGAGTTCTCACCTTTACCCAAAACCATGTCTTTAACTGTGTCGCTACTGGGGCATCAGAGATGTTTTGTCAACGGCCGTGTGTGTATGCTGAAGCTGTGTTGACTGGTAAGGTTGCTCAGGTGACAGTTCTGCTCCCTTGTCTTGGCACTATGTGTTAATGTTTGTGCCCTTCACATCTCTCAGTCATGCTTTCCCAGTGGGAATGAATGGAGGCTTTGAACATAAGGTGTCTGACACGAGGACACCAAACAGAAATATATGCATCTTACCTTGATGACATGCAGAGGTCGCCCCTCGTAGCTGGAACCAATTGTGGAGTAAGACATCATGTCTGAGTTTTGGGCAACTATTGTCGCCATCCATTGGTTAATCTGTTCAGGAACAAACCGTCTGAATGTCTGACCACAACGAATAGTGCTGTTAGACAGGCACGCTTGCTTTCCCCAACGTAAAACATCCTTTAGACCTGTGGTACTTCCCCCACTGACTGGATTTCACACTGATTTAGAGGGGAAAACCAGTCACTGGGGGGGCAGGAAATCCTCCCACTCAGCTCGGGTTAACACTGCAAGCCAAAGAACCTAAAGGGTAGGGTGTTTATGGGACATTGCTGTGTGTAAATTGACCACAGCGTTCCCCTACAAATACACAGTCCATTATACTTTATAGTAAATCCTGTGAAATGCTTGGAGAAGTTTTGACCATGTCTGTTCTGAGGCACCTGAGGCACCCGAACTCTGCATTACAATCTCTGGTGCAGCGTAACTTCAGGTAAAATTGATATGTTGCTTATCGGAGAATCTCAACCTTCTGTGCTCAGCTCACAGTCCCTCGCTATCACCTGCTCTTGCTGTACTGGTCAAGGCTGTCACCAGGCTAAGTAGGGTACAGTCATAAACGTGCGCAGCTTCAGTTGTGCAGACACTGTTACAAACCAGGAGCTGTTGTCCCTGTAAAAGGTAGCCAGCAGACGTACTGTTTCTATGGAATTGTACTTGACATAACTGTGCTGATAGGAGGCACGATCCCCGTTGTCAAATTGTTCATCAATCGCCGTCTGAAGATCTTTGATCAAAACCCTGAGAGGCGAAGAGAGAAGAAAACAAAGTCACACAGAGAGGAGGTTTGGAGGAAGGAAGCTCGACCGTTATCTTGTGACCAAATACACCTACTGGTATTGCAGTCCACTCCGCTCTAGGAGACCCTGCACCTCGGCAACTTGCTCCGCTCCCACTCGGAAATCCACATTGATGCCCACAACCACTTGATCCAGGGAGTCAGGCTGCCACAGATCCAGCTGAGGACAGAGGGAGACATGTCAGCCAAGGTCATGATGCTTCACTGTGTGAGCTTAAAGTTATGGGCTTCACTAACCTACCTTTGGAACATCAGCCAAGCTCTTCACAAAACGCACTGCCTGCTCGGTTGCAGGCTTCACCCGAAAGACTTTGTGTCTTGAGAAGAGATAAAGAAAGAGAAAAACAAAGGGAGGTGAGTGGCTAGTCTCAGAGCTATCGTGCTCAGCCTTTATTTTATTTGGGTTTTTAACTAGAGGAGATGGTTCTCACCCATCGAATCGCTGTGTGGCTGGCCCAGCCAGAGACACTACCACCAGCCCCAGGAGGCAAAAGAGCTTCATTCTTCAGGCAATCCCGAGAAATATTTTTGGGGATCTTTTATACTCCGGGGAGTCACAGCCATAGCCAATGGGGTCAGCATCTCTCAGCCGCCCTGAAACCACAAGATTGATGACTTTCATGTCCTTGATCTAACTGAAAAACAATTCTTTAATCGATATCATGAGGCGAAACCTGGCATTTGTGGAGCTGATGTTTACCTGCTTGCCCCTGCTCAGGCAGAGCAGGAATAAAGCAGATGTTAAAAGCTGCCAGGTGTCGATTCTTGTTGCCAAACTAATCGGCACCTGAACTCAGGCCAACAGAGAGGTGGACAGTACCAGCACCACACTGCTCACTGGACGTGAAATTTCTCTAATTCAATTCCTTGCTCTGGCCTCTGACCCAACAGGTCCTAGCAGAGATCCATCTGCTTGGGGGATGGAAGTCCTGGCAGGAGGTGTGAGATAGATTGAACACCTTAAAGACGACTCAATCTATTGGGAGCAGGTGGACTCCGAACTGCAGTGCCTTGCTAACGGAGCTGCCCTCCTAGCACTGATGAACAGGTCTCTCTCTCTGAGGCGTGCACCCCATCAGTGTTCCAGGGTGCAATTGTGCTATCTATCCCCAAGAAAGGTGACTCTAGTTAAACCGATGACTACAGAGGAATCTCATTGATTTGAGTGGCTCTTAAAGTGGTGTTTCGAGTAGTCACTGGACATGTACTACGCGCATTGGAGACTTGCGATTTGATTGCGAAGGAACGGGCTGGGTTCCATTCTCGTGAGGAATGTATGAGCCAGGTTGTGCCTCTGTATGAGATCGCAGAACATCATAAGGCATTACCATCCACCAATGTTGCCTTCATTGTCTTCCGCAAGACTTTCAACCCAGTGCCTCATTAACCCCTCATGATGTAACTGGAAGCAATGGGAAATCTTGGATTTTATCAGGAATGTGACCAAAAGCACAGTCAAAACAAAAGGTGTTAAGTTGAATTTTAAATGTTGGCAGAGAAGGAGGGGTGAGTTAGAGGGACTGCAAGGGTTCCAGCGAAGGGGGCACAATGGTGGAGTGGATTCGATTGCGAACATAAAGCAGGCTAGAGCCCGGGGAGGGGAGGGGAGGGAGGCAATGGCTGGGGAGGGGGGGGTGGATGCAGGAAGTCACAGAGGTAGGGAGGGTGGGGCAAGGCTGTGGAAAGATTTGAATGGGAGAACGATGATAATGATATCAATCTACTGGGGAATGTGGAGCTGAGAGAAAATGGGCTTGAGAGGCTTGTGGAGCCTGGTGAAGGAGAGGACACGAGCTGCAGAGCTTTGGATGGATTGTAGCTTCTGTAGGGAAGAGCTGGGGAGTCCTGCGAGCAGAGCGTTGGAATAATTAAGCTTGAATGAATCTCAACAAAGAAAATCGATTGTTAGTAGCCATCTCAAGGTTAAGAGTTGCAACAAGTTATTTTAACCCTGGAAAACTCATGGGAAGGCTGTCTGTCGTTCAGACACTTCACCATCAAAAGGACATGGGTATTTGGGGCAGTGCAGAGGAGTCTGCAGGTTGGTGACAAAAGTTGCGATTTGCTTCTTGTCATTAGAGAAAAGGTAAGAGGGGACGCAGTCTGACGTTTCCAGTGCTGAAAGCTGTGGACATTGTGGATGGAAATAAGTGTGTAACCTAATGATCATGGACATGATAACAATAACAACAACTTCTCAGAGCACTGATTAGTGGTGGATCACAATGCCAAGTCAGGGGGTGATGTGGGTGTGTGACCGTAAGCAAGGTCAAAGAGCATTGACAACCTCTTTGAGACATTCTCCTGACATGAAAGGTACCATCAGTGACCTTAATCTTTCATGTGAAACTTTATCACACATCTTTGTAGGAGGAGAGAATTAGTGAGGATGAAGAAAGAGCAGAGAAATGGAATAATGGCTTCTTGAACGAACAAACACAATATAATGGGCAGAATGGCCTCCTGATGTTTTGTCCATTTCCATGGATTATTCCTGCTGCTGTGAAAAGGGAATAATCTAAGGACTGTGACGTGGAGAGGGGTGAGACAGGAGATGTATCACACTAATGGTTACCAGAAATCAAGATGCTTTACCACGAGTGGCTACTGAGACTAAGATAATAAGAGGATCAGGTCAAGAGGACCTTTTAGCTCATTTAACCTCATCTTTTCAGAACTCCCCCACACTCCCACCAATATCTCTATCATTAAGGTGCCAGTCTGGCTCAATTGGTAGCACTCTCACCTTTGTGGGTTGAGGGACTTTGCACTCACAGTCCAGGCTGACACTCCAATCTAGTGCTGGTATTTTATGTTGGGTTGTGTTGTCCATTAGTAAACTTGCAGGAAATTTCTGATACTTGTTATCCACCGTGAGGCTCCAGTGACTATGCTCCTGGGGGGGAAGGTAAGGTAAGCAGTGTCTCCTGGAGCTGAAGGCCCACACCCTGCTTAACTAATTGTGAAGAGTATTATTACACGTTAGGGTTTTGACTTGCAAGGTTAATGAGAGCTGAGTAGGAAGAGCCTCTCCCAAGTGACTGATCTGCCCTTCCAACCCCTATCAATGAGCCAGGGTGGGCTGTGCTGTTATCAGAAGTGCTGTGGTATACTGCAGACCGACCGGGCTCAGAAACCGGACTAGAGACCGCCACAAAGGGGAACACGAATCTGACATCACTCAGCTCAGCTCGAAGTAGACCCTGCTTTGCAGGGCTATTGGGTAAGACCGGGGAGTGGGATTAGTTTGCAGCTCTTTCAAAGAGCAATATAGGCAAGATAGGCCAAATGGCCTTCTTCTGTGTTGTGATTCTAGAACTAAAGCCCAGCACCCCTACTCTGCAAGCCTACGAGTTGGGACACGCAGAGCCCACTGTATATGCTATCCTTGGAGAGGACTCAGACAAAATGGGCCTCGTTGTAAATAGTTTTAAGAAAAAGAATACGGTGACCTATGTGTGTCAGTGAAGAAATTCAGGATCAGGTAGATACAGGTGCTGAGGTTCTCTTTACACAATGTGTCTTTAACACTCGGCCACAGAGCCGAGGAGAAGCCAACAATTAGGCTGTAGGAATAACACTGATTAGCTGAAAGTCAAGGTTGTCCATGGGTTATTAGCAGGAAGGTCAGTGTTGGGCACAACTGCTGTTTACACCAGCTGTACACCAACTCCACAGCAAACAATTGGACCAATGTCAGATAGGCAGCAGGAACATGGCTGGGGGAGGGGGGAGAGGTAGAAGATGTCCCTATCTTGAGGGGTGGGGAATGTCTCCATAAGAGAGCCCAGTATGATTTGTAAAGGGAAGTCATGCCTGACTGATACAATCAATGCATCTGGTGCCTAACCAGTAGTGTCAAGTGCTTTGAGACATCCTCCCAAAGTGAAAAGTGTGTTGTAAGTGTAAACTGTATTGTATTGTGTTTATTTATTTACACATTTATCAGCTCGGTTGGGATGACTCAAAGACATCACCAAGACATCAGCAGTGTACTACAGAAAGAGATCGAGACTGGTGTCACTCTGGCCTGTGGTCAGAAGTTTGTGGGTTCAGTCCCACATTGGGGCTTGAGTCCACAGTCTGGGTTGAGACTCCAGGCCGACTGGGAACATGTTGTGCCGTCAGAGGCCCCGACCTTCAGCTTTATTGTAAACTTGGGACCTGTTTACAACAAATCTTTAGATCCTCTGTCCTGGCCAACTATCCTCCACATTAATTGGTCCTTCACCTCAGAGCTGTTTGTGGTGTGCAAATTGGCTGCTGTGTTTGCCAACAGATACACAGCCACACAGCTTTTCTCTGTGAAGCCATTATAGATTTTGTGTCAAATGCAGATATTATTATTACATGCTATAAATTACATAATAATGAAGACAGGTTCAATGTACAATATTTTATTTCAATTGACTTTAAGAATATGGACAACACTTCACGTGTTTGCCTAAAAGCTACAAAACCAAACACTGGCATTATATCTCACATCAAGATTACAGAAATGGTAATTTGCTATGGAGGAGTTAAGGGAAGTTACCACATCTTTCAGGCAGAGGCTATTATGATGTAGAATATTTTACACTATTAAGCCGTTAAGCTGAAACCAGAACAATTCCTAAGGAAAGGAATTGGCTAACTATGTGAAGAGGAAGAATATAAAAGACTATAAGCAGAAACTACAGTCACTAAGACTCAGCGGTGGATTGAAAGCATCCAATTATATATTGACCCATGACGCAGTACAGACGAGAGACAGCTATAAGCCACTGGCATGACATTCCTGTGTTGTGACTGTTGTGACTGGCCTACTCATCACGTTACTGCTCAATCTTTGTATCTTCCTGTACACCCCCAAAAAAAATCTCAGCTGACGAAGAACGTCAGCCATTGGCTAATAACCAGGAACAAGAGTCATTTCAGTTCACAATTCTCAGGCTGCAATTTGATGCTTTCTCTCCCAATTTTCAACCTCGATTTCATTCGATCATGGGACCTTATCAGCTTGTCACTGAGCTGTCAGGAGCCCTGTGCCTTACTCCCTAGTGGCAATGACTTGTGTAATATTACACAATAACTGTATAATCTTACAGCGCCAGCCTCCCCAGGGTAGATGGATTTGGTGTTAGGGCAAGGCTCCTGCTATGATTTGGGGTCTCTCCAAAGTGACCATTCACTGTGAGTGAAGATAGAAAGAGCAACAGGGTGACCAGTCGTGTGTGTCAGGATAGACAGAGTAACTACACCTCTGTAGAGTCCCTTAGAGTAGTGGTTAGAGCACTCGCCTCACAAGTGAGAGGACCTGGGTATGATTCTCGGAGAGGGCGAAAAGTTGGGCAAGTTTCTTTACTCCACACACCTCTGTTTACCTAGTAGTAAGTAGGAACTCGGTTGTTAGTCGATTGGCAGCTTGTGTTTTGGGGCAAAAATCCTTTCAAAAAAAAAGTGGTCATTCAATCCATGAGTGTTTGTCAGATATTTGCCGTGCGCGATTGGCTGCCATATTTCACTCACAAAATATACAATCAATTCACTTTACAGTATATTTTGTAAAGTGCTTTGAGACTTCTCAACAATGTGATAAGAATTATTATTATTGTTACAACAGAGTGACCAGTCACTGTGTGTGAGGCCAGACAGTCTGAATATATCACATCTTCTTATATATACAAAATGATATACATAATTCTACACAAAATATAACGTCAATTCACTTTACAGTACATTCTGTGAAGCGCTTTGAGATGTCTCGAAGATGTCTCGAAGGCACTATATAAAATGCATGGATTATTATTATAATTAATTTTAAAGAAACTTAATTTAAGCATAACATTTCTGAATATTAATGTTTGAATACACGTTCCAGCATATTGGATGATGCACTGTCCTGTAATTACACTGAGGCAAGAGACATTTTAGAACCTCACTGTTTAGGTAGTGTTATATTGATGGATCTAAATTTCTGACAGATGAATTCATCCAGTGACTGTACTGAAAGACTAGCTGTTGCCACCATACTTTTGATGAGACACAGCCTCAAGACTAGATGGCAGAGTTCAGCTGGTCAAGGGCAAGTTTAGGACAGACACCAAGAAGTATTTTATACATAGGGCAATGACAGGGGATGAGATCAAATGGGCTGAGAGATCTTCCTCACCCAAACCTCTGTGATGTGCAAAAAACAGCATCCTGTGAGTTGGGGCAGTTTAATTCAAGGCAAGTGGTTCCTGGCTGTCAGGCTCATCGACTCAACGGTACGGGAGGACAGGTTACTCATTTTGATGGTTAAACTCGAATGGGATTTAATCCCGGGGGGCAAACACCTCAGAAGGAGGAAAAGCTTCTCTCTGAAATTGTGGCCGACAAATCCATAGAGAATGGGGTTCAGACAACTGTTGGAGTAAGCTAGGCAGATGGTGAAGGGGATGGAAGAGTCAATCATTTCAGAAAAATAGCAATTTTGGATCACGTTTAACCGGAAAAGTACGTCGAAGAAAGTGATGATCTGGTAGGGAAGCCAGCAGAAGAGAAACATTATGACAACGGCTAGTATCACCTTGAAGGCTTCATTATTGGTCTGCTTGCTCCGTGTGATGTGATAGGCCTGCATCAGACTCCGCAAGATTAGGAAGTAACACGTCAGGATAATGAACGAAGGAATCAAAAAGCCCAGAAGGATTTTTAACAAAGCCATCCCGAATATCCACTGCTCCTTGTGGCGTTCCGGGTATTGGAAAGCACAGATCGTTTTATTCCAGCTCTCGTAGGAGACGGTATCTCGGAGGAAGGTGTTGGGCAGGCTGGTTACTGCAGCCAGAAGCCACACCACAGTACAAACCACACGAGCTTGGATTAAGGTACGTTTTGACCGGGATCTCATAGGGTGGACAATGGCTAGATAGCGGTCAATACTGAGACATGTGACCAGGAATATGCTTGCATTCATGTTGATGAGGACAAATGTGGAGCACATTTTGCAGAGGAAGCCCCCGAATGGCCAGTGGTAGCCCATGGCGGTATAGGCTGCCCACACAGGCAAGGTGATGATGAAGATCAGGTCAGCTAGTGCCAGGTTCAGCAAGAAGATGTTAGCCACGGTGATCACCTTCAGGTAGCAATAAATGACAATCACAACCAGGCCGTTTCCGATGACGCCCACCACAAAGATCACACTGTATGTGATGGGGATCAGGAGGAATATGTAATCATGTCTCCCACCCAGCACACAGCTCTGGGCTTCTCCCTGTGAGGCATTCCCCATGGAATCATTCAGCAGGTTGTGCTCCATCCTGACTGCAAGCTTGGTCGCTCCTGTCCGGTGCTAGCGCCTTTTGGTCACTTAGAGCCAACTTATGCCAGCACCTGCAAGTGGAGAAGATATGGTGTAAATGACAGACTCTTTAATTGCAGCATTAAGCTCTCTCTTTCCTTTAATGCAGCAGGATCCAATGTCCCAACGCAAGATGAGAGGGCAGGTTCAATAACAACAACTTGCATTTATATGCAACTAGCAGGGTAGCATCTCAGGGTGCTTGACCGGGTGGGGGTGGGAGGAGAAACCTTGTGGGGTGGGACAGTGACCACTTCTTCAGACACCTGGTGTGTGACACTGACACAAATTGTGTGAGAGAGACACAGGTTGTGTGACCTGGAGTGTCTGACAGAGACCTGGGGTGTGTGACAGATATCCCACAGTCTGCATTCCCACACATGTTGAGGGACAGAAATCTATATTTAATTTTCCAGCCACACCCTGAGGCGTCCACATTGTGCAAATTCCTCTCTGCAAATCAATTAAACACTCCAGCCAAGTTCCCAAGCACACACTCCCAGGCACAGTAAATCCAGCAGTCAAACATGTCGGCTGATTAGACAATGAAGGGTAGGATGCTCTTAAGCAGCACTAGGCTCAGGTAGATCATGGTCTGATCTCAGAGACTGAATTATTGTGTTTAAATGCAAGGAACAACACTTGATGAGGAAGAGCTGCTTTGGGCTGACATCTCCAGAAACCCTATTGGCTACTTCAGCTAAATGCAACTCTACAGTAGGTCAGTTTGTAGCTCAGGCATAATGCGGACTGAGAAGGGAATGGGATTAGAGTAGAAAGCTTCATTTGGGGGACGAGCTGTGTTGTCTCCCCATACAGGGCTTGCAAAATGGGCAGACAGATGGCAAATGAAATTTAATGTAGGAAACGTGAAGTAATTCACTTCAGCAGGAAAAATAAACAAGGATAGTACCAGGATTGGTAGGTTTCTGTTATCAGGAGAGACTATATAGGTTAGGCCTTTTTTCACTAGAGAAGAGATATTTTGGGGGGACCAGATAGAGGTGTTTAACATTATAAAATCGTTTAATAAGGTTAACATAACAGGCTATTTGCACTGGTTGGGGAGTCTGCAACCAGGGACACAGCTATAAGCTAACGACTGAAGGGGGTCTAAAAGAACATTTAGAAGGAATTACTTCACACAGAGAGTGGTGAGATTGTGCAACTCGCTGCCTGAAGCGGTGGTTGAATCAAATACTATAGATACATTCAAGAGAAAGCTAGACCTTCACATTAGCAAGAGGGTAATAGAAGGGAGACTGGTGTGGCACATAAACACCGGCACGGACTGGTTGGGCCGAGTGGCCTGTTTCCGTGCTGTACAATCTGCGTAAATCCCCATGTTGTGCTCTGCCTCTGTCCATCTTGTTAAGATGTACAAAGATAATGACCTCTCTCACTTCTCAAACTAACACAAAAAAAAATCATCAACCGCCCACCACCCCCTCTCACATCCCAGATTGTGACTATCATGGGGCCTGTCTATCTTTCCGAATGTCTGTTCGTTTGTCTGTCTGTCCATCTGTTTGTCTGTCTGTCTGACTGTCCAACTGTCTGTCTGTGCAACTGTCTGTGTCCAGCCCCTCGGTTTGCTACTAAATATTATTTGCTTTGTTTGTGAAGCTCCAGGTGTCAGTGTACATGCGTGAGTTGCACTCAAAGCAATAAGAGAAGGTTTCTGGGCACGGTTGAGCGGCTGAATGATGTGAGAAGATTTAGTTGATTGCTGGGTGGATGTGTGCGAAAGCCCAGTGAGCAACAGCTGACTAAATAGCACACTAACAGCCGGTGTATAGGTGGAGCTGAGCTGGCGACGAGTATGTGAAGGTAACAGGTCTTTCACAGCATTTCCTCAGTTAACTAAGCTTGTCCCAGCCTGACCACACTCCACACCTTTGCGATGTGCGGCTGCTATTTCCTCTAGTGGGGAATTTCCTGATATTTGCTACTTGTGCTTAATCATTGCTCTACTCCCTGGCATCTCCCTATCTCTCGGACCTGCTCACACCCCACTCCACTACCCACGAGACCCTGCCTTGCTGTATAAATGCAATTTGTTGTCGCTGCTATTGCTATAATCCCAGTATAACTGCTTTATAATCATCAACACTCAATAACTGTATTGAGACTAGGACATCAACTCTCCAAACAACAACAAATTATATTTATTTAGCACCTTTCACATCGGGAGGACATGCCAAAGTGTTGGACAGTTTGCACCTGAGCTGGGGTTTGGAGACAAGAGGGGTGGAAAGTAGGGGTGGGGGTGGGAGGATGACCGAATGCACCATCAACGAAGAAGGTCTTGAGATGGGTCTTGGGAGAAGCAAGGGAGGGGGCTAGCCAGAGGGATTCGGGATGGAGTTCCAGAGGATGGGGGCAGAAAGGCTGAAGGTCTGACCTCCGATAGTGGAGCTGGTAGGGAGGGGGACATGGAGTAGGCCAGTGCCCAAATCTCTCCCTCAACCCAGTGCTCTGGGACACTACCTACAGTTGTTGTTGTTGTTTCAAATAATGGGTGGGGGGAGTGTAAAGTGCGCTGGTTTCTTACAGAATTCCTTAATGAATCTTCTGATCACTGGACGTCCATTGTCCCAATAGTAGCCATGGTGCTGAGAGCGGACTCCAGGGGTGAGTGTGATGTGCTTCCTGCAAGTGTACTGGAACATACATCACTTCCACACAGATCTGGGAGTGAAGTCAGTAAAATTCAAGTCTGCACGTACACCTGGAGTCCAGCTTGCATCAGGCTAAACCTGAAGGCTCTCTCCGGCCTTCTGCATGTCCTTCGTGCCCCCCCGTTCCACCATTGGCGGCCGCACTTTCAGCCACTGCGCCCCGCAACTCTGGAACGCTCTTCCTCTATCCCTCCGCCCTGCCCCTTCCTTTCCCATCTTCAGGTCGTGCCTGAATACTTTCCTCTTTGCCGTGCCTACGGTCACCTTCTCCCCCCAACCCCCCCCACCCATCTCGGTGTCATGCTTTGCCACGATCAAGCGCTCTGAGATGCTACCCTGTGTGAGGGGTGCTATATAAATGCAAGTTGTTGGTGTAGTGTGTCCTGCTCGGGTCAGGCCGGCCCCAGAGACAGGTCAGAACTGATCCCCAGTGTTAAAGGAATGAGCTACGAGCAACAATTGGACAAGCTGTGTCTGTCTCTATCTGTCTTTAACTCTGTCTGTCCAACGCTTTGGGAAGTCCTCCCAACGGAAAGGCGCTGTACAAATTAAACTTTGTTGTTGTTGTTATGCCTCAAAAAGAGACTTCTCAAAGAGAATCTTAGAGAGGTGTGTAAGAATTTAATAGGACCGAGAACAAATCTATGGAAACGCTACTTCAGTCAGCGAGTATAACTGTATGGAACAGTGTCCACGGGGAGACGGTGGAGGGAGAAAGTGTTGTTTCTTTGAAAAACAAATTAGACAGATTTCTGTTAGACAATAATATCTCGGGATACAGTGTATGGTTTGGGATACGACATGTCAGGATGGTGGAAGGCGAATGGGATGGACCTCAGTATTCTTTCGCCAGCAAATTCTTATGTGCAGTCCTGTAGCTCAGTTGTTAGAGCACTTGCCTCACAAGCGAGAGACCTGGGTTTGATTCCCGGCAGGGCGAAACCTTGGGCACGTTTCCTTACTCCACATGCTTGATAATAATCCCTCAAGAAAAAAAAACAATAATAATTTGGTCACTTCAATCCACGGCTGTTTGTGGGACGCTGCTGTGCGCAATCGGCTGCCGCGATTCGCCCACAAAATGTAGTCAATTCACTTTACAGTCTATTCTGTGAAGCGCTTTGAGACGTTTCGAAGACGTGATAAGGCGCTATATCGAATGCAAGGATTATTATTATGTTCTAACAATAAGAACCTGCTCGTTGCAACATTTTCTGATGAGATGTGAATCCAGTCTGAGTCTCATACCCCCGGCAGCTGAGAGTCTGAGAGACAACGGTCTGTGTCCAAGTGACTCCTGGTGGCCAAATTCTGTACTGCCTTGAACACACTCAACATTAAATGGGATCCAAAATGATTGACTCCTCTGATGAGTGTTTCCCAGCAACTCCTGTTTTTGTTTCAGATTTGCAGCATCTGGAGTATTTTGCATTTTTCACTAACAGCCACCCGGTGGTCAGTGCTTTCGCTCTGAAACGATAAATGCTGACAAAATGAGCAGCCAAATGAGTGCGGCTCCCAAGTGAACTAATAATAAGTCCGTACAAAGTCAGCCCCATTTATTCAGGAATAAAGCTCTTTCTCCAAATAAGCTGCCCAACCCACAACCGTGGCCATCCCCTTGACCTCCTTATCACTCACGGCCTTGATATCTCCTACCTGTCCATCACAGACAAGGCTATCTCACACCATTTCCTCATCTCCCTTCCCTGGCAGTGATCCTAATGCAGCCATCAAGCTGCTAAACGGCTGCCTCCTGTGACCCTTAACTCCCTTGCCCTCCCTGAAATCCAGGGATATCTCCAAACCTCCCCACTCCCCCTGGTATAACAGTCACCTCCGCTTCCTCAAAATGCAAACCTGGATGCTCGAGTGCAGATGGCACAAATCTGGCCTCAAAATTCACCACCAGCTGTGGCTCGAGCACCTCCGCACATTGCCCCTCTCTCACAGACCCAAACTGCTTACACCCCAAACCATTTTGGAGGCCAAAAACAACCCAAAGGCGCTGTTCTCCACCATCCATCACTTCCTCCGCGCAAGCCCCCCCCAACTGCCTCCATCCTCACTTCAAACGCCAATAATAATAATAATCCTTGCATTTGATATAGCGCTTTTCACGTCTTCTAGACGTCCCAAAGTGCTTCACAGAATATATTGTAAAGTGAATTGACTGTATATTTGTGGGAAGTGTGAAGAGCTCCTAGATTTCATCTTCCTCCCCTAGTGCCCTTTCACACACACCCCCAGACCATCAACACCACCCCTCCTTCCAAC